TACGCCAAAATTTTTTTGGAGAGAGCACAAAAGCAAAAGGCTGCTTTTTCATCTTGTGCATTAACTGACTTTGCACATAGTCAGTTAAAAAAAGAAATCGAAAATAAGGATGGCCAGAAGGGTATACATCAGTAGATTCGCAGTGTAGATTTATAGTAAGGTACTATGGGAGAGATTTCAAGAAAGTGAGAATGGGAAAACCAACAGAAGAAGCAGATAATATTAGGTTAAGTGCTAAAGCTACAATATTTGAAAGACTCCCATCAGTAAGGCTGGGTAGGATGAAACAAGGTCATAATAGCACTTGAAAGTTTGGAGAAGAATTCTGCCTTGGGGTACAGAGTGTAAGTCAGTAGGCATGAAGGATGTGGAGCAGATGGGCTGCGTACCTCATGTATTATTGCAATGTACTGTACTGTATATCACTTTGTCCTTCACTTTATTTATGGCATTTTAATTTGCACTTTTATTTTGATGTCATTTTTTGTTATCTTATGGTTTTATCTATTGCTATAAACCACCCCTTTGGTAGTATTGCAAAAAGGTAGACCAATTATGGGAAGAGGTGTTTAATGAAATAAATAAAATTACAAACCAGTCAATTATTAAACCTCCAGGATTAGCACTTCTTACTCTTTTTCCGAGGGGAAATGAATACAATTTTATACAAAACCTTCATAGGCCATCTTTTGACTGCAGCAAGAGAGACCATAACGAAAAGATGGAAAAACATGCAGGGAGTATCAATTGCAGCATGATACTCAAGAGTATGGCAGGTAGCACTTCAAGAAAAATTAACTACCAAATTGCATATAGTTAAAGGGATAAAACACTTTGACTCCTTTGCAACTGACTGGCATCCTTTTATTGTTTATGTGAATAGAATGGATAATAAGGGACTCCCTGATGTATACAGAAATTATTGGTCATTGTAATATATGTTGAAGATTTTTATAATTTTCTCTGAAAAGACTTATAAGAATGTAATGGTGCAACTAAGAAATCAGAATTCATCAGGGCCTGAAAAGAAATTTTAGCAGCCATCTATTCCTTCTAGGTTGAAATGTACTAACAATCTGGGAAAGGAAGGAGAGGAGGTGGGGAAGGAGTGGTTATCAGAAGGCAACAAGGCTATAGTCTGATAAATATTATGCTGGTAGCAAAATAAACACCTGAGAAGAACAGCAGAATGAACTTGCTCTCATAGGAATGGTTGGGTAAAAATATAAAGGCAAAATCTATGCTTATAAAATGTAGATATTGTTATGCAGATTCAATTCTCCAGTGTAAATTTAAGTGATGAAGCTGTAAATAAAAGAGAAAAATTTGAGATCAAAGCTATTGCAGAAAATAAGGGACCTTTTCTTCCCACCTTTATATTTTTCCCTGGTCAACACTGCCCCCTTTCCCTCCCATCATTGCATGGATGGATAAAGGATATCCCATTGGCCAGATGCATTCCCACCCTCCTCAGTGCAGGCTTCCACCATCTCACCCACTCCATGTTGGGGGAGAAATGGACAGTGGAGCACAAGAAATGGCAAATAGTACCACTACACATCTCAGGGAAAGAGGTTTCGTATTTAAAATCTGTCTGGGGTGCGTGTTCCAGATCCAAAAGCAAAAGTGACTTTCTAATCAACACCTGTTTCGTAATATACACTTTAAAGTCATGCACCTCTGGGATTTTTGGGGCTGCTATTTGCCTTCTCCCCTGTTGAAACCAGGAGCTAGTCTCCAGAATAGCGAGTCAAAGCTTTAACGCCAATAACCTTGACATGAGAGAGCATTCAAATGGCTGCTGTTTTATTTAGCTAAATAAAAGGTGTGACGGAAGTCATGCCTCCAAGTGTAGGCAAGAACAACCACGCCACGCACAGGAAAGACCAGGATGTTTATAACATTGGTTACACAAAGGAATGGGAGGAGAAATGGGTGGTTCATGACCACGCACAGGAAAGACCAGGACTTTTAGAACATTGGTTACACAAAGGAATAGGAGGAGAAATGGGTGGTTCATGGTACAAGGAAATGGGAGGAGAAACTGAGAAATGGGTGGCTCGTGACCTATTGGCAGAAGGGATGGCATTACAAAGGAATCCAAACTTTTTTCGGGATGGGAATCCCAGAAGGGATAGAATTTTACAACAGGGTGGGTCTATAGATAGCAATTATGGAAATATATGGTTACATTGTATTGTTCTGACAGGAAAGCAATTCATTATCTTGCAAAGAGGTTACAAAGTTCTGTGAAATGGAGACTAGGTGATAGGAAAAAGGTACAGTATTGTGCAGTGAGACTGTCCAGGCTCTAGAGTTCAATTTGCATAAGATTGGTCCTGGCGTGAAATGGAGTATTCCAAGGTGATAGGAAAAAGGTACAGTATTGTGCAGTGAGACTGTCCAGGCTCTAGAGTTCAATTTGCATAAGATTGGTCCTGGTATTCGCCTGGGGGAAGAGAGACAAAAGCCAGCTGTGCTGTGTCTGTTTGCTTCTCCAATATAGATTGGAAAGTGACATAACCTGCCCTGGCGAAGGAAACCTGGCCTGTGTCTGTTTGATTCTCCAATATAGATTGGAAAGTGAGATAACCTGCCCTGGCGAAGGAAACCTGGCCAGCCTTAATCCTTTACAGAGACTCTTTAAGGGAACAAAAACATGTACATATATGTGTATAGCTGGCTGTGTTTTATCCTTCCAAACTGCATTCTGTGTGATCTGATCAAAGGTACAGTGGTGCCTCGCATTACGATCACTTTGTTTAACGACGAAATTGCATTACGATGAACTTTTTGCAATCGCTTTTGCGATTGCAAAATGATGTTTCCTATGGGGGAATTTCGCTTTGCGATGATCGGTTCCCTGCTTCGGGAACCGATTCTTCGCAAAACGACGATTTTCCAACAGCTGATTGGCGGTTTCAGAATGGCCACCGGGTAAATAAAATGGCTCCCTGCTGTGTTTAGGGACTGATTCCTCGCAAGAAAGGCAGCAAAAATGGCCGCCCTATGGAGGATCTTC